AAGAATGCAGTAAGGCGGTCCTTCCCCTCAGGGCGTTACTGGACTTCTCCACCCACCTAGTTCAGGCCTTAATTAATAATAGCTGCTAATTTTTAGTCTTTTGGTCTCTCAAGTGCTATGCTTATAAGTTGCCTTGGTCATGGTATTTTTCATAGCAATAGAAGAGTAACAAATACACATAACCTTTGAAACCTCAAAGCCCACCCTCAGTGGCTGTACCTCCTAAACCTACTCATTAGGTCATTAGTTAGGGACCAATTCAGATGCTTGAGAATATGGGGAACATCTTATTCAAACCACCACATTCTGTTCCCTGGACTCCATTGTTTTATGGCATATCATAATGAAAAATGTATTTAGTCCAACCTTGAGAGATTCCACAGTCTTTCACAGTCTCAACACTTTTAAAGTTCAATTCATAGCCTTTTCTGAGACTCAAGGCAATTTTAGAACTGTAATGTCCATAAAATCAAAAATAAAACTATATGCATCCAAGATACAGTGGTACAGAATATGCGTGATCATTCTGGAAGGGAGGCTTGGGATCAAATAAAACTCCAAATCCTGTAGCTCCATGTCTGATGTCAGAGGGCTTAGATGACTCTGCCCTTTTAGCTTCGCTGCCTGTAACATACTCTTTTCTTTTGGGCTGGTTCTTCTCTCTGTATGAAGCTTTCTGTAAGATGTCTCATGGCTCTGACACCTCAAACATCTTAGGGTCTCCAGTGAAACTCAGGTTCCACATTCACAGCTTCATGTAATGGCCTCTCAGGGCTTCCTGCCTGCCCTGGGCCCTCATGCTACATCTTACCAGCTCTCAGTGGCTTTGTGACAATGTGGAGGAACATTCCAGGACCCCCTAACTCCTATTCTCTCATGACTCTAGAGCCAGCACCATGTGGATCACACTGTCAAGTTCAGCTGCTACTTGGGATTGAGGTACCCCCACCTCCCACTGACTCCGTTTAGAGCAGCTTTTGATTGTTGGAAATTCCTTTGGCATTTTTTTCTTTCACAACTTGGAAGCTTAGCTGGGTGGGGTCTTTCCCCAAGGGCACTGTTCTGTTTATTCCAGTGTTGATTTGTCCCCACTTTCCCACCCTGGCACCAACCTCCTCATTATTGGAGACTCTCTTTTAGCCCAAGACTGTAACATTAAGCTTGCTAGTGTTCTTTTCCTCTCCAAACTACATTTGTATCTCTTTTTGCCCCACATTTTGTCTTTTTCATTGTATAGCTGTAAAAGAATTACTCATAATCAGTGGATGGAGTCAATATTAGGATGCCTTGAAATTTCCAGCAAAGAAATCAGTCTATTAATTTTAAAATTCAATAACAGGCAATTTCTTAGTACAAAGGCGGAAAGTGGTTGCTCCTTCTCCCTAAACAAAACAAAACAAAAAAAATTACAGGAATGATCTACAGTCCAGTTGCAAGATATTGCTCCCTTTTGAAGCTGTCTGAGAACTCCTTTGAGGGATAGACCCTGGTACCTTCCTGAAGGCAAAATAAGCAGTTTAAGGAATCCTGATGTTCTTGTACCCTTTACAGGATTATAATAAAGATAGGAAACGTATTGAAACAAGGGTTTGTGACAAAGGTGCAGAGGAAAGCATTTTGGCTCAGTGAACTGCCAGCCTCCCTGAGCAGACTTGTCAGATCAGGACTTTTCCGACAGTGTAGAAAAACAAAGGATAGACTGCCTTTTCCCAAGCAAAAGGCCATTTAAAGTTTTAAGAATCAAAGGAAAAGTTGACGGCTGGTCTTATATCAAACATAAAAGAAAAGCAAAGGAAGGAAAGGAAGAATTAAACAAGGGTCAGAGAGATTGGACTTCTATAGAAAGAGAAGTTTGACATAGCAGGTAGAAGGAAATAACTTCTGATCTACTAATTCTATGCCAAAGTGAAACGAAATCAAACTCAAATAGAGTCATCCTGTCTAGCATTTCTGTGACCTTGAGGCTTTATGACACCAATCTTAAGAAAATTTTGAAAGTGAGGTATCCCAGAAGCAGAAAGACACACAGGGTATGTACTCACTTATAAGTGGATATTAGACATATAATATAGGATAGACATACTAAAATCTCTACACCTAAAGAAGCTAAGCAAGAAGGAGGACCCTGGGTAAGATGATCAATCCTCACTCAGAAAGGCAAATGGGATGGACATCGGAAGACGGAGAAAACGGAACAGGACAGGAGCCTACCCCAGAGGGCCTCTGAAAGACTCTACCCAGGAGGGTATCTAAGCAGATGCTGAGAGTCATAGCCAAACTTTGGGCAGAGTGCAGGGAATCTTTTTTTTTTCTTTTTCATTTAATTTTTTATTAATTACATTTTATTCATTTTGTATCCCAGCTGTAGTCCTTTCCTTTATCCCTTCCAATTCCACCTTTCCTTCCTCTTTTCTCATGTCACTCCTTGAGTCCACTGATAGGGGAGGTCCTCCTCCCCTTCCCTCTGATCCTAGCCTACCAGTTCTCATCAGGACTGGCTGCATTGTCTTCCTCTGTGGCCTGGTAAGGCTGCTCCCTACTCAGGGGGAGTTAATCAAAGAGCCAGCCACTGAGTTCATGTCAGAGACAGTCCCTGTTCCCATTACTAGGGAACCCACTCGGACACTGAGCTGAGTGCAGGGAATCTTATGAAAGAAGGGGGAGATAGAAACACCTGCAGGGGACAGGAGCAACAGAATAAAAAAATCTGTGCCCAGAGGTCTTTTCTGAGACTTATACTCCAACCAAGGACCATGTATGCAGATAACCTAGACCCCCTGCACAGATACAAAGTGAATAAATTATTAATTAAAAAAGAAAAAATATTGAGCCATACAAAATATTATTTCAATATGAAAAAAGAAAACTGATTTTATCATAATGTTAATTTTTAATTCTCAATGAAATTTGCTGTTTGCTTTGTTTCTTTTAGTTCGATATAATTATGTAATCAAGGAAGACAAAGCTGTATAATCAATAATTAAAATTTTTGAGAAAATGATTTTGTGTATAAATAAAGCCTGTAAGAGATACTGGTTGTCAGAGTGGGTCAAGCCATACCTAGATGTGCTTCCTCTCTGTCCCATCTCTCATGAAACAAAACTAAATGGTGTTTCAAGTCTGATTCTTCTCTTGGGTCTACCCTTCTTCAAGCCTCACCCAGGCTGGACCCTGGCAGCCTACAAAGTGAATTTAATATTCTCAGTAACTGCTTGAAGGAGTGAGACTGATGTAAATAATGATGGACTCTTATACTGGTATAGTGCTTAATGTTCTTGAAACTTTTTACATATGAAATATATTTTCCAGATAGTTTTGATAGCAAATTTATGTACCTAGATTCCAGTCATATATATTTTTTGAGTGGCTAGGAATTCTTGGAAGTATGTATGTATTTGTATGGAAAGTAGTGTTATAGGGAATAGTTTTGGAGGCCATTGACGATGGTCCTGTCCCTTGTGGTCACCTCCCATTTTTTCTGGTAACCCTAGAAAGGAGAACCTCAATAGTGCTTTTCCCACAACTTATGTGTTAAGCCAACACATAAGGTGGAGGTAGCAGGGCTTTGTTGAGGCATATTAAGGGAAAATACTTCCTCATGGTCAAAAGAATAGACCCTACCTCTGGTCCTTGGCAAACATGCCATTCTGATCTGCAAAGATCAGAACATTAGATACCATTTTCTTCTTTAAGATGTAATATAGGTAGTCCCGTTGATTCCCTGGCTGGGAGACCACCCCACAGGAAAGCCGAGTTACCTGAGGACATGATGAGGAGATGGAAAGAATAATTTTGAATTCTGACTCAAAAAAAAAAAAAAAAAGCACGAGCTTTTCTTCTTTCTTTCCCCCTTTCTTTAGGAAAATGGCCCACAGCCTAAGCATGCTTCTTCTGCCCATCTGAGGTTTATCACTATTTCTTTTCTCCTTCCTTATGCAGCTGCTTGGTAGTCTGCACTGCTGGACATGCTGGCTTTCTTAGGCCCTAACTCAAAAAAAGGAATGACGTTTTTCTTCTTCAATATCTGTGTTTTCCCAGAGGCTGCTAGCATTTATAGCTTGCCCTGTTATTTCCTCAAACTCTTAATAAAATGGCCATGAGCTTCTGAGTGCTTTTTAAGTGCTTTTCTTAAGAAAACACAAAACAAACAAAACAAATACCCAAAAAGGTAACCTGAATTTGCCCAGTAACAGTGGTACTTAAAAACAACAAAAACAGTTTTTGCTAGAGAATTGTAATTGAAATTTATGTACCCAGATTCTGTTTCAAATGGCCAGGGACTCTTGGGAGCCCTTCCCCCAATCTGTGTGTGTCAATGTATGTTGGTGGGTAAAAGGTGGGAAAGAAGGATTTTTTTTAAAGCTTGAGGTGAGCATGATGATCCTAGATTATTTTAGATTAGTTATTATGGATAATACCTATGCTATACATAGGAATTTTGTTCTATAGTCGAATAAAATCCAGACATGATTTTTGGGTTTAATTGGAAAAAAGACAGAGCTATTTACATAGAGAACCTTTAGTTATTATCTTTGAAACCTTTTCAAAATTGTAGAGGAAATGAAACACAGCCATCTAGTGGTTATAATGTTAAGAGCACTGAGCAATAGTTAAGTACCATGAGCTCACATTTAAGCAAATCAGCGCTTATCACACAAAGGGACATATTCTTCCTGAATACTTATGTATATTAATGACAGGGTAAACTGTATATGACAGTTGAACTACAACATTGTTGCAAATACCCTCAGGGTCATTTGAACGAGTATGACATTCTAATGTTCTATACATAATTTTAGTTGTAGTATTTTTTAATCATACTTATGAAATTACAGAAGTCACATGTACATTCTGAAACACTGAAAGAGATGTGTCTACCTCTTCAGGTTAACTCGCTGTTCCATGTGAACCACAGGTTTTACTCAGTGCCTTCTGTATAGTAGCTTTGAGTCACTAAGAGCTTACAAACCACTGAATCAAACTACTGAATTATTTTCTAGGAGCAAGGTAGTGCTGTGCAAAATATGCAGAAAAAAGTGGAACAGTTAGAAGCGGAGCACACGGACTGCTCGGACCTTCTGCGGCGGCAGACGAGTGAGCTTGAGTTTAGCACTCAAAGGGAAGAGCGCCTGAGGAAAGAGTTTGAGGTATGGCTACCAGTTACTATAACAGCCGCGCATGATTCGTGCAGACTTCACACTAGGGCAGGAGACATGGGACCACTGCTATTGGATATGCAGCTCCTTTGAACATTTTTATACTTTAATAAAGTATTTTCACCTCCCCCTAATTAAAACAAGCTATTCCTTAAATTTTTACATTTATTTACTTGTATTTTGTGTATCGTGTGTGTGTGTGTGTGTGTGTGTGTGTGTGTGTGTGTGTATGTACACAGGTGTGCATGCGTGCATGCCATGCTAATTGAACGACAATGAGAGGACAACTTGCAGGGACTTAGTTCTCTTCTTCTGTCCACTGGCTCTGGGGGATTAACCTCAGGCTGTCTGGCTTGGCAGCAAGTATGCTGACTTGCTGAGCCATCTTGCTGTCCCAAGCCTGCTCATTGTTAATATATATTTCTTGTGGACTACTTGGAAAGTTTGAAAGTGATTCTTTACATTTTTGAGGCTCAGAAAAGCACTGGAGAAGGTTTGGTATGTACAGGTCCTAAATGATTATGATGGCTTATTTACTTATTTATTTTTGCAATAAATACTAGGCAAGTGCTTTTTACTAAGTTGTATCCTCAATTCCATTTTAGACTAAGTTGGAAAGGAAATAGTAAGATTTGGATATGTTTTGAGAGAATCAACAGGATTTTTGGCTTACTGAGTTGTGAGAAGAAAAAAGATAGACATTTTTAGTATTAACCACTAATAGTTTATCATTAAGAAAGTTTGTATATGTGTGTGATTGTATATGCACATGCACATGATTTCTACGGCTTGTGTGTGTTCAGCAAAGAACAACTTGCAGGAATTGGTTACACTGTAGGTACTGGGATTCAAACTCACGTCATAAGGTTCTGCAGCAAGTATCTTTACCTGCTGAGCTTTCACACATACTTGTTTTTTCCATTTGTGTCTGTCTATCTACCTATCTACCTATCTACCTATCTATCTATCTATCTATCTATCTATCTATCTATCTATCTATCTA